ATGAGGTAATGAAAGACTTTTTTTTTCCTTGTTTGAGAAATGCAACAAAAGAATTGAAAACACGATGAGACCCTCCGTGCATCTGTCAGAAATCAATGCAGAATGTAATCTGAAAGAGAGAGAGGGGAAAAAAAGAAAAGAAAAACAGAGACGTTGCACCTCGCGTGACACAAAAACACATCCCCTATCGAATACAAGATGTTCTTCCACAAATGTTCAAACTGCTGCCTCTTGATATGAGCCTGTTCTCTGCTGGAGTAACTCTGAGGGATGAGCTCATTAACTTGTCAGGCGAAGAGAAACCATCACAGAACAGTTTCACCACATATCTATTTTTGTTAAAAGTACATGAAACAAAAATGACTGAAAAACATGAGCTTCTTGTTTTTGGACTTTCTGAAGTTTCACCCCACCCCACAGACCAAAACCATACATATTAGGCTAATTGGTAACTCTAAATTGTCCCTAGGTGTTGGTGAGAGTCTGAATGGTTGTTTATCTCATTAGTGTGGCTCAGTGATGGACTTGTTCAGGRCGTGCCCTGGCACCAGTGACCTCCGAAACCAGTAAAGATGGATAAATTTAAAGTGACCATACCAGTTTTTAGGAAAACATTTTAAGAAGCTGCAACTAACTTTTTTAAAATTAGGAAACAAAAACAATAACTTTTAGATTTACTGATAAAAAAGGAGCATACAAATGCCCTAAAGAAACATTTCAAGCATTATACACTTGCTTGAATCAGTTTAAATAATGTGTTGTGTTCTGTTTTAAGAAGAAACTTGTACAGTTTTAGTTTTGTTTAAAAAAAAAGCTCTTGTGCTAAAAAAAGCTAAAGTTTTTAGAGGCGCAGAGATGCAAAATCATTAGCAACTTTTACTAAATAATGTTTKGTCCCAAGTTGAATTTTAACAAAATATTTCTTAAAAAAAGACATTTATTTCAAACATTACAGTGAGACCCAGCTACAGTTCTCAGAGAGATTATTAAGCCATATTGATTCCAGGTGAAGTGATGGATGGTCTCTATTAAAGCCAATCAGATGGTAGGAGAGAAGAAGCACTTTGCTGCACAGTGTTTTATCTTTAGAGCAACCAACTTTCGCATTTAGGTCACTTCATGAGGAAAAATCGAGCAAAAACAAACAACTTTATGCTTATCTAAAAATTTGATTAAGCTTATGAAGATTTTGAAGACTGAAGGAGGAAACAGTTGATTTGTGAATCAAGTCTCTAACCTTACGTGCACTGAAGCACTTGATTCTTAAAGAGGGGTGCCATTAAGTGTGGGGACTTGAGATCTGATTTAATTTATAAACTATTGATAAACCATGATTGTAGTGACAGTAGACATAAACAGATACAAATAACATAATGGTTATTGAGGCTGCCTGTTTTGCCATTACCTGCTTGTTTAATTGGCCAATTAGAAATGGTCATARGCTTTGATCATTTACAGTTAGTGTTGAAATTGGATGTGAAACAATGATCACTGCATTAATTATGTCATTTTATTGTAAAGCCACATTTTTCTCTGTTGCTATATCAAGATTCAGCTACAAATATGGCTACCATGGCATAATTGATTGTACTATCTTGGTGCGTTGTCAGTATATTGCTTCTGTTYTTTTGATTTAATAACAGGCTAACATTTATTATGTTTGACAGGTTCGCTATATCAAGTGGGCTGCTATGATTTAGATCAGGTCTATGTGGATTTTACTCAAGCTGRCAACCAGCTGTTAAACAGTTCTCAGTTCATCATTAAAAAAATGTCTGATAAGTTAGAAAACTTCAAATAAACTGAGCAAATAACCATCAGTCATGCTTTTTTAATCTTTATTTAATACGTTTTGAGATATTTGACAGAAAATGTCCCCCAAAATGTGCACTTATTCCTAACAAGTGAMCATCAAAAGTACCAAATAAAAGTAGAACTTTATTTTTTTCTGTGGGAAGGGGGATTTATTTAGAAGCTGGAGAAGAAAGACAGACAGGCATCAAAAAAACCAGTCTGGCTKCTGACAAGAAAAATGTAATTTTCTAACATCAACTGGCAGATCGTGTGACATTTTGTCACCGCATTTCTGCTGCATTTGTTCAGGACTGGTCTAGGATGCTGTAATTTTAAAATGACGTAATATCCATCATCATCACTTAGAAAAGAAAAAGAAATCTTCTGTACCTTTATGTTCTGGGTCACAAAGCATGTGAACAAACAGCAGAGTGAATACAACCCATCTCTTTTTTTTTTGAGTGGTAAAACTACATTTGCGGGTGCACAACGCAGACAGCTGCTCCACCTGCGAGCACCACCGACCGTTCATCATCCCACACGGGCTGCAGCTGTCCTCAGCTCTGAGAGATGGAGATGTCATGCTGCAATCTCCACATCATCCAGGCGATCTCGCTCTGCTCTCCTCTGCACGATTGTTGCCTTTGTGTCAAAGACAGGAGCATTACTGGAAATACAAGACTTAGCAAATTGGTAGGACGGATAATATCTGATGGTGTTATTGTAGGAAAAAAAAGTGACGCTGAGTCAAGTTGAATGCCACAAAAGATTCAGACTTTCTCATCTTTGAGTTCTTACAGAGGAAAAAACAAAACAAAAAGGAAGTGCTGGCGTGTGACAGGGCCTTGACGGGTCTTGTTAAGACAAAGTGCTCAGCTCAGAGCTGCGGAGATGTCTTTCAGCTGACCATGTGCAGACATTTTATTTTTTAAAGCAGCTCCGCAAATCACAGCAGGGCTGCTCTGACATCCGTCACACAGGGAAGCAGGGCGAAACAAAAGCTTCGAGGAAAATCTGAGCTAGATTTTCAAATTTAGCAAAACTCCCCGAAAGAATCGATGCAGCACAGATAGTCGATAAATAAAACAACGTTTAGTGTTTTATCTTAATAACCAAAGTAGAACATAATATCTTTTAAATGAAAAGGCTAAAACCTACTTTTTTAAAAAACTTCTCACTGGAAAGTACCATCAGTGTAGCAGTCTTGCTACTGATGATTTTCATACCTCATGTGATGTCTAATGAACAGATGCGTTAGTTTGCAGATTTCTATGCATGAGACATTCAGTTTCAAACCTGTTCCACATGGTGTTATTTAAATATAATACCATTTATTCTTTTAATAATAACTTGTAAAATCTTACTCCTAATCTACTTTTGGGACTTGAAAACTAAAAAAAACATTAGAATAAATCGTCATGGTTAGGTTCAAATGTTAAAAAATGACTTAATTTATTCATTTTATTGTCCTTGAGCCATGTTTGGTTACTGTAAGTTGACCAAATAACTAAATCATTTTAATATTCATTTTAAAAAACATTACATTTTGAATACACTCAATGGATTGTGCATATTTTAGGTAAAGTCTAACCTTGTAAACACTTAAGAAATAAAAAGATGRTTCTGCACACGCTTTCAGAAATAATAAATTTTTGTAGCTTTAATTTCTCAATGGTAGTTTATATGATATTTTATTGAAATTTGACCCCTTGAATTGATTATTTTATGTATTTGTCTCTGTTTTGCATAAAAAGAGTGAAAAATAATAACATGAACTTGACCCACTTGCAATCTTACTTAAACAAAACAACTTCTATGACTTGATTCCTCGCAGTTTGCTTCAGTGTCTTTCAGGGCTAGCTAAAACTTGGAAAAGCATRTACAGTTTATCCTGGAGTGATGATTTTTAAAAGAGGAAAGCCAAATAAAATGTGGGACAACATGTCAGTTTTTGTAGGATGTGTGACAAGGTTCCATGGAAAGAGGACCTGGTTCCCTTGCTCTCATCATGTAGCATGTATTTYTGAGTTTAGTCCTGCTGACTCCATGCTTTTTTGTCAAGAAAAACACACCACGTGGTGATGAAACATATTTCAACAAGCTGTAGTTGGGATTGGTAAAACAATAAAACTCACTGATTGATACAGAAAAATTAAAACATCCTCCAAATGAGCATTTCCTTGAACAAACACACACAAAAAAGCTCAAACTACAATTTGGGGATGCYTCTAAAAGTTGATTAGTTGTGGTGGCCATCTTGAATTGGACTGACTCTATATATTTACTTCTAGATGACCAAAAATCTGGCCAAATATTTTACTAACAGACAGATAAATAAGTAAACAGACACCTAAGCAATTACGTGATTTCCCACCTTTCATATTTGTTGGTGATAGAGTTTCGAAATGAATAATTAATTTTAAAAACATATGGATTTAGACTGATGGCTTAAGACCGGTCAACGTGGTTATTTTAGCTCAGATCTGACAGAAATAATTGGGATGCTTGGATTTTTTTTCATCTTGAAAACAGTCAAAGAAAAGAATAAGCATTTTTTTTATTTTAATTTAAAACTGACTCGAAAACCTTGAAATTTATAAAGCAAGTGACTCACATCCACAGAAAAGCTGAGATCAGAACATTAGAATAATCATAAAGTGCTTCAGTAGTTCTGCTGAAGTAGATATTTTTCCTTTCATACAAAGATTTGCTCTCTGTAATCCTGTAGAACAATGATCGCAGTAACACTGCAGTCCAACAGCAAGGTGGCACCGAGCCAACAATGGGTACTAACGAGGAGCATTTCTCAAGACTGTGCTGTTGGAATGTATTGGATGTAGTGGGGAAAAATATCTGCTCATTATTCAGAATTCCAAGGAAATAGAAGAAAAGAGTTAATTACATTGTTTTTTTTTTTGTGCACAGGTTTTTGTGAGAGGAAGTGCTTGAGGAGAAGCAAATTTCTAGTTTCGTATTTGAGTATCCCCACCCCCCTCTTTTTTTTTCCCCCTACAAGGTGCTTATTTGGCAAATCGAGCTTGGAATTGCTTCTGATTTGACATCCCACATACGTACATGCAGCATGTCGCACTAAAAACACTTCTGTCTGTATCACTGGCAAATGCAGATTACATATTTTCAGTCCCAGTCAGAAGCATGTAATCAACAACATTCAGACTTTTTTTTTTTTTTCCTTTCCTCTGCAGCCCTCAAGTACGCCTCATAACAGAATGATACCTTAGCATCATCCTGCTTCGGGAGAGAATCCTCAGCAAACTGTAGCCTCGATTTGCTCCCGAGCATTAGCTCCGCTGGGAATAACACCGCTTACACATACAGCCAGCCAGGACAAGTGACAGCGCTGCACTCCCGCCACCTAAATCTGACAGCCATGATCCACAGAGGCCCCCCGCTACGGCTCAGATCAGGGATCAGCTCGCTGCTCGATGGCTAGACCTCTGCACTCGAAGAGCTGGGGGCCTTTCTGCTGAGGTAAGTCTCAGTCTCCCTCTGCGGCTCAGGTTGCTCTCTCTCTCCAAGTGTGAGCCATTTCTCCCCTGCACTTGTTTAGTCGAGTCAAGTGGCAGTCGTGTCTGATTAAAACTGATGCTCTGTGTAGCAGGGGCTTTCGCATAGCCCTCCTCAAACCTTCGCAGGATGCAACAGGATGATTTGAACGCGCTGTTATTGATCCTTAACTTTTTTTTTAACCGCCACTCCTCAGTGGTGGTTCTTATATCGTCGCTCATTCCTCCACGGCTCAGTGACAAGCCGTCAGACACGGTAACACAGTTCATTTCAGGGGGGATGGATTCAATATTGAAACATTTATCAGGATACCTTGGCTCTCACCTTTGCTAATAAATTATTCATCAATGCCTAATGGKCTCCAGTTTTCTCCAGAAAATTGCTCCGTGGAGGTTTTTTCAGCTCATTTAAGTTTTGAAGAGGCACATTTAATTGAAAAAAATCCATTTCCCCGCATTGTCTGCATTCCATATGAGAAATACTTGGAGGATAATGAGTATAGGCATCCTGCTAACAATGCTGAATTAACTCAGCTGTGTGCTTTTTGCTGCATGACTCGGTTGTGTCATTAAGCATTTGTCCCCACGGTCTAACTCCAGCTTGTTTTCCTCCCTCGCAGATTCTCTCACTGCGTTGTAGCACATGGATTTCAAGACTTCGAATGAAGAGGTTGGTGGGATTTAATCAATGGTACGATTGGTGGTGATTATAGAAAGTGCCCAGACATTTTGAGAGAAGTGGAAAACAGCCTTCGGACTGCCTTTTCTTCATCCCAGTTCAGCTTTGAGTTTCTGTGTTTTGAGCTCACCTTGTCTGATCTCCGGAGTGCTAAGAAAAGATGGAGTTGATTGGAAATTTTTGGATATTAACTCGTCAAATCACACTTGAACAACTCTGTGAAATCATACCTAACATGAACATTTGCAAATTCCTAGAAGGAGCTAAATGCAGTCAATGCGTTCAGTTTTACAGATATTGAKCTGAAATCTGATGTTGTGGTAGCTGATCATTGTCTCCAACACATGCTTTGAGTGCAACATCTTTCCTTAAAACCTTTGTGTTAAATGCTGAATTATCCTTTTAAGTCTGTTAGCAAAATACCCATTAAACCATTAGACGGAATTCAATGAAACTCACAGAAATGAAGCACTGGATGTACAACTGATCAAGTTTTAGAGTCAACCAAACTCAAAATGGCTACTGATAATCAACTTTAGCCAAAACAAAAATGACTGCATTTCACTGTTTGCAGCAGATTTTTTCATGGAAGCTAACTACTAGTAGTTTRTGGTAATCCCCATGATATTGTGGAAACTGGAAATGCAGTCCAGTAAGGAATGACACTTTTTTGCCTCTTGTGCTTTTTGGTGAGTTGTTTTGCTAAATCATTAAGAACAATCTAATTTAGTAAGTTTTGTAACGTAAATATTATGAACTACAAAAACAAAACCCAATACAGTGCTGTATGTGACACATGCCCTGCCAAGAACGCAGCATTTTACGCCTTTTGATAGTAGCATGTAGCATGTAGCTGCTAATTGTTTAGCTCTTGTGTGTTTTTTGTTTGGTTTTTACTACAAACATGCTGTAGACCTTTTCAGAACTACATCCAACATTCACGTTTTTTCACATTATGTCACATTTTTTTCGCTGGTACTCTAAGAACAAAATGAGGATTCACTGTAACTCAAGTGGTTTTACAGATATTGGGCCTCATGTAAGAACCGTTCGTACGCACAGATTTGTACTTAAGTTGTGCGTACGTG